GCAGTAAGCAATTCATTACAAAATCTAAATCTTAAAATCTGAGAAACAAAAATCTCTTTCCTAAAGGTTATCTAAGACATTGTTTTTTATTGACAACAAAAAATGTCTTTCAATCATGTGTGTGTCCATTCCTCCAAACTGTGTTCAAAAACCACCAGAGATGCTATACTAACCACCACTGGTAACAGCAGCCTGGGAGAGCTGTCAGCTACTACCCTACAGCAGCAGGTCTCAAACTTTTTGGGTCTTAGGACCCTACAACTCTTAAAACTTATTGAGGACTCCAAAGAGCTTTTGTTTATATGGATTATGTCTGCCAATATTAACTGCATTGGAAATTATAACTGGGAAATTTTTTTAAATGTCTATTTATTTTAGTAACAAGAAATCTATTACATGTTAACATAAGTAACTTTAAAAAAAAAACTTTTCCAAAACAAAAATATTCAGTGAAAACAGCACTGTTTTACATTTTTGCAAATCTGTTTAATTCTGGCTTAGTCAAGGGCTGCTGCTTCTGCATTCAATACTTTGATAAGTTGTTTCCGTAACTGCATATCAAGAAAACCTGGCATTATATCATTATAACTGGAAAGGAATATTTCAGGAAGACTTTTCAAATAGTGGATATTCTTCTCTAATATTACACCAAAATGCCACAAGTGGTTAATTTCTTAAAGATTACAATATGAAAGCAGAAATCACATCAATAAACCCTTCGTACTCTTGCAATAAAATCCACTGGTCCACCCTGCACTTTAAATGTACCTTTTTAACCCATGTATGATTTCATCACATTACGATTGGTGGTTTGGAAATGTGGGTTCACTGAAGATATGCGTATCTTCCAAATGGTAACATATTATCATACAGTATCAAAAAATGTTCATCAAGGGAGGATACAGCTCAGTGGTAGAGTACATGCTTATCACTATCATGCACAAGGTCCTAGGTTCAATCCCCAGTACCTCCATGAAAAGTAAATAAACCTAACCTCCCCCCCACCAAAAAAACTGATAATGCTTGCTTAAAGGAAAAAAAAAAGAGTTCATTAATAATCACCATCAATCTAATCACAAACTCTTTTACTTATTGGGAGGCTGTCAAGCTCACAAGGACAGAAAAAAAGCATTTCAAAATTCTAATTTCTGCTTGAAAGCTCAAATTGTATCATTGGCCACAAATACTCAGTTGTTTTCCTTAAAGAGACAGGGACAATTCATTTTTCAAGTAAATGCTAAGTAGTCAAATATGAATATCCATAGTTCGTAACTTGTTCTTTCAGGTAAAAACAGAGCTCCATGAGAAAAGCACTAGCTTAGCTCACAAATCACTCACGTGCTCTTTGCAAAACAACCATCCTCCTTTTTCGCATACAACTTTGTGTAACTCCCATTTTATCACAACTTATTTAAAAGACAAACTCAAGGGTCAAGACTTAATAAAATCAATATTTTTTTTACTGCTTCATGGAGGCCTGTTTTTCCAAACTCTGTGTGTGTATACTGTAGTAATACAAAGACAACTAGTAGAATACGGTGCCCTGCCTCCATTCTTCCTAAAGCATGAGCAGCATTACCCACCACTGCTTTTGCACAATTGGTTCAAACGTCAACAGAGTAAAAAAGACATAACATCTCAATATTACTGTGAAAACAGTTTGGATTTTATATACTCCTCAAAAGGATCTCAAGGACCCCCCAATGCCCAGGCTTCTACAAATCACACTGAGAACCACTGCTAGTGTTACTAGCCACCAAAAGATCCCAGTTCTGCCTGTTATGAAACTACTCAAATTCCCTCTTCTTTGTGACAGCCCCACAAATACTTGGAAAAAAAGCTACTGTCTCCCGCAGGTCTTGCTAAATACCTCTTCCAACATTCAACAACGTCAACAACATTCTACAAAAGTGGCATGAATGCTAAGTCACTGATTATCTACTCTCCTTAAACTCTTTTTATCACCAGTGTGATAGCCAGAACTGAGTTAATAGCAAATAATGATCTGACCAGCACGGAGCAGGGCAGAAATCAGAATAAAGTTTCCATAAGGGTATTATTCTAAAGTAAAGCAGTGATTCTCAACAAAGAGGTTTTGGCCCCCAGGTATCTGGCAGTATCTGGACATGTTTGGTTGTCATTACTGAGGAGATGGGGGGGGGGGACCTCCTGAAATCTAGTAGATAGAGGTCAGGGATGCTGTTAACACACTAATATACAGAGGCTTGCCCCCTGCAAGGAATTATCAGCCTAAAACATCAGTAGTATCAACATGAGAAACCCTGTATTAATGGATCCTGAGACTATCAAAACTTTTGGAAGCTTCACCATGATGGGTCTTAACCACACCAGTCTTTCAAAATCATGTACTTAATTACATATGCTTTTAAACAACATATGGAGGCTTGTTCACAATGTTTTGTAATGACCTGTAATTCAATAATCTGTTTTTTGATTTCATCCATTCTGACAACTCACCTATGATCTACACTTTAACCCCACCCACTCACCCAAAGTAACAGGACAGGCATACCAAAAATGAAAGTGGAAGTCAAACACAAGATAGCCTGGGAATCACAATTCAGAACATCAAAGAAACAAAATTAATGACACCAGAACATGAAAAACAAAGAAAGCAAATTAATGATGGGGAAAAAAAGCCTATTTAACTACGCAGTCTTTGGTCTTTTTGTTGTATATTTTGAAAGTAAAACACTTCGAGTTAAAAATAAGAGGGACAGCTAATGAAAAACTGGTCATACTATTCACATTTCAAGAAACACACGAGAAAGGCAATGTCCATGTGTGAATCTACTGTCTTCACTTTGTCTTCTATTTCAAACATTTGAACTAACTTCCAAAGAATATGAAGCACTTACATCTTTAAAGGAAATGTACACCTCCCTTCCTCAAAGAATGTTGGGAAAAAGTAGGTATAAAAGTACTTTTACTTTTTAAAGAGAAAGACAGATTAAATTATTTCTTCACTAAAGCGTTGTTAAGAAATACATTTCCTAGTACTGATCAACTTTTAATACTGACATGATTATTAGAAAGAGAAGTCCCTTTTCAAAAATAGCAATAAAATGTGAGCTAACACAAAGAAGTCACATGGCACTACTGCAACATTTAGGTTTAACTGCTGCTGAATTTTTTTTATGTCACAAAAATCTTGCTTAGACTCAGTTCTCATAGTAACTCTTATCATTCCACACAAGGATGAGTCAGTTAACAGAGACCTTGAAGACTACAAGATTTTTAGGTCTGTATAACCAGTTAAAACAAATATTCTCATTACAGAAATATGTGGATAGGCTTCTTAACAAAATGACAGGAATGGGTGAGAAGGAGCATGAAATTCCTTTTTAAAATATTCTGTAAAATGCGACAGATGTCTTTAAAGCCTGTGTCAAAGTTAGAGCCTCACCTGTAAAGAGACACACACATGTAAATAAAACTGTAAAACTATAATCAGTGCTATCTGCAAAAAAGAAGCTTTTTTCCACGTAAAAAATAATACAATAAACATCGGGTGTTACATCAGGTGTCTAGAAACCCTAAAACCTTCACGCTGCATTTGAGTAAAACTGCAAGTGTCAATTACATGCTTCGTTTTAAAGCTACAAAGAAAATTCGGTTCCTCGTCTCTTACACTTAAATCTTCAAAAATGGAAGAAATGCAGTCTCACTATTTAGGCCTCTACAGTGCTGTATGTACGTAGAAAAAAAAAAGGCTGTAATCTTTCGACCCCAACAATGAGTTGTCAAATTACATTCCATTCTTTGAAAGAGAAAGAAAGAAAACGAAAACTTTTTAAAAACCCTATAAGGAAAAGAAAGTATAAGACGTAGGCCCAGTGAGATGAGAAAGCACAGATAGACCAGCTTTAAGTCTACAACCAGAAGAACAAAAAGTATCATTGGAGATGCAGAGAGAAGGAAACAGGATGAAATCTGGCTAACCTATCAAAACAAAACAGGGAGGGCAATACATAACACAGGGCCTTTCGAAGGGGGCACCCTAGAAAGTGCCCTTTTCCTGGCGATTGAAAGCCTGGGGAGCAGTTCTAAAAGAGGGGCTCGGCGCTCAAAACTGGGTGCTCATGCAAGCTCAGACGTGGAAGTGGGTTAACACTGGCAACGATTTGGGCATTTCGGAAACGGCAAGGAGAGGGAGGCCGGGAACAGAAGCAGCGAAATGAGCCGAAGAGGCGCCGGGGGGCGAGCCCCAACCCCGTGCGCAGACCCCGCGAGGAGCAGGGCCTTCCTCCCCAGCCGCTGGGCACTGCTTTTTTCCCCCTCATTTCTCTAATAGGACGAGGCGGAGGAGCAAGAATAGTAGGATTAGAGGTTCCTCTGGCTCTTCCGGAAGGGGAAGGCCCCCAGCCCCACGGCCGCTGAAGCCAGGAAGGGGTGGGGGGAAGCGGGAACCGAGCACAAGGGGAAGTGCGACGACGAGTGGGAGAGGAAACAGGAAGAAGCCCCAGTCCCGCCTGCCTCCCCCCTGGGGCGAGGGCCCGGCTCGCGCGCCCCCCCCGCCCCCCTCCCCTGACGCCCCCAAAGCCCCGCCGGCGTGCGAGAGAAAAGAGAATACAAATCACTTACAACGGCATCGTCTCCTGCGCCGGCACCGCCCAGTCACTTCCCCCCCGCAACCGCCGCCGCTGCCGCCCTGGGCATGAT